TGAAGAAAGAAAAAAATTTGCATTCACTCCCCCAAGATTAATGTTGCATGCTTAAGCAGTTTTTTTCCCGCCAAGTCGAATACGAAAGCAAAAGCAAAAAAGTCTAACCACGCAGAAATATAATTGGACCCTCGGTTATTCCACTCGCCGTCATCAACATTTTGGTAAATCAAAAGCATTTTAACGCGCTGTTAAATTGGCCCATCAAAACATTTCAATAAAAATTATGATTATCGTCCACATTTCAATTTGTGTGGTGCTGCTTACTTACGTTGAAATTCCGAGTGGCTAGTACGAAAGGAAAACTCATGAATGAAAACAGAAGGAAATCATGAAAATGTTAAAGAAAATAATAAGAACAGAGAGTGCGCAATGGCAATTGAAACAAGACATTTTCACGTTGCTGAAGACTTTCAAAAATAAATCTAAGGCAATGTGAGGATTAATCGTCTTTCAGTAATTTAGTCTTCATTTAGATTTCGGAAGGATTGCTTGGAAATTGAATTTTTTTTTTCGTTTAAAAAGTAACTGGAAGTGAAATTTACTGTCAAGAACAATGAAAGGATTTTGGATACTGTTCTTTATTTCATTGCCACTTCGAGTGCTAACGATCGATGGATTTTTTCAGAAAAAGGAGAAAAATGCCAATAAGGAAAGGAGTTTTGGTAAATTTAGAATTGATAGCTTTTTGATGTTTGTGAATTTTCAATTTTGAGATTGAATATTAAATGATTTCAAATATTTGAATTGAGATTCAATAGGTTTGTTATAGATTTGCTTTAATAAGTCATTAATTGACAAAATCAAGCAAATCAGACTTTAATTTGTTTTAGATACGAAAAATGCTGGAATTTAATTTAACATTATTTCGATTATTTCTCTGTTAAAAATTCAAAATTAAGTTTGATAAGTATTAAAATCAAGTTCTAACAAAAGAAATATCTGACTTGATTGTAATCCTAGCTACAGAGAGATATTTGTTTCAAGAACCAATTAAATTCTGATTTGCAAAGTTTTAAAAATCAATCTAAAGGATAGTCTTAAAATCAAGGTTTAGAAACAAATTAAATGATTCGAAAGCTTTTAAAGTCATAATGCTGTATTAATTAATTAATTAAAGTGGACAGATCAATCTGGTTACAATTATTGTTAAATTAAGCAATCACCAAGTTGTCAAAAGAATCTCAAAGAAAACGCAACTTTAAATCTAATGAACTCAAATCAAAAATATGATGAAAGTTTCAATTCATTTACAATAATCATTTAACTTCCGGAAGTGTCATAAATGTTATGTATACAGTACAAAGACAACAGTCGCCCTTCGTGTTAATGACAAAAATGACATTTCAATCTTCCTTCTTTAAAAAAACTTACAAAATAATCACCTCAAGCTGAGGTTATGAATAACATGTGCAATAATTTGAAATTTTTTGGAAATAGAAATGAATTTATTGATGAATCTTTGAGCTTTTTTTAATGAATTGGCTGTGACAGTGTAACCCTTAGGTTAAAAGTTTCTTTTTTTATTGCTTAAAATGTCAATTGGCACACGATGAAATGGATTTTAAATATTTTTTTGACAAACGAATCATTAGAAATAATGAATATTGTGTCTTTATGGAAATGCGGCGGCTAATGAATTGTGTGAAATGAATTAATGAGAATTGATAGTATTTTGATTGTTGTGAATATAAATTCATTCATTAAAGTTATGTTTAAAATTTTTCGAAGTTTCATGACTATTTCTTTTAAATTGGACTGAATTATTAAGTATAAATTAAATGATGATAAGATACCATCACAGACCAAAGATCCAGCTTGATCCATACTCTAGCAAAATGACAAAACTCTTTGAAATTTAGTCTAGACTATTGTTTAAATACACCAATGTTGTAGAACTAATAGTATGAATTGAGATAAGTGTAAAAAGCTTCTAGTATCATTTTTCAGTCAACAATACACTGAACTTAAGTTCAGTAAAGCTTTTAGAAATCTTTAAATTGTAATCATAGGGCAATTTAGGAGAGAAACCATTGATTTATAGCCGATAAATGGTTATTTGCTGCTATGATGACTTTTAAGCTATTTATAACCACTGCAAATACATAATTAACTTAAAAAACACATTGAATGGTAGGTTAAACTAGTCGGTGATCAAGGCTTTTGTGTTTTTTAAATATCCTACGGCGGTAATAAATTGTAAAAATATCCATTAATATGATTAAGTCTGATCTAGTTTCTACAGAATCAATAATGTTTGTAATATCCGCTCAGTGCATGGAATTAAATCTGCAGCAGTTTTTAAGTGGGAAATAGCTTTTAACTTCCAAAAGGTTAAATAATAACAACTTGTATCGGATTAATCTAAATCTAGTTCGATTAACTCGATTGACGATATCTTTGTCAAAAGTCTAGAAGCGTGATGAATCCTTTTCGAGGGTAGATCAGAACCTAAGCCAGAAAACATTCCAACTTCTTGCTAATCTTGGATGTAATGCAGATTTCAGTATCTAAAGCATCAGACTGTCATGTTCCATCAATTTAGGATAACCACAAACTTAAAATTAATGAATTAACCTGAGAAAAATTTAAAAAAAATATATTTTTTTGCTGCAATAACGCCCTCAAGCATCATATTAAAGCAACAATAAATTCATAAATTAAAGAAAGAAAACTTTAAAGTTTCAATTACATTATTTCATATCCAAAAAAAAATCCAAAAATTATATCAACATAAAAAATAATGAACATTATCTACTTTCACATACACACCAGTTTCTCATCATCGACATAATCGTATGAAGTCTCGCTCACGAAAAGAAATCTTTTGTTTTCTTTAAATTTCCTGTAACATGCTCATCACCGAAAATGTAATCGCAAAATGTGAATTTTTTTGTAAAAATTTTAATCAAATTATTTTATTCCAAAAAAACTCATTGTGCTCATCTTGTGGAAGTCCTGTTGCTTAAACATCTTGAAAATGAGACTGGAAAAATTGTTTTTAAAGATTTGTTTTGCTTATTGGGGAATTTTTAAGGAGACGAATGATGCTTTTGAGTCATTTTGGGTTGATGGAAACTCTTTGGAAAGGTTTGAGGTTTTAAAAGTTGATTTTTTAATTCTTCCGATTCTTATAAATTTTGACAATTTAGAATTGTTTGAAATTTCAAATCAAAATTTCCAATTCGTTTAAAATCTTAAAGATTTCTTACTGAAGAATGATTCACATGTAATGCGTTCAATACCCTCACCAAAAACTAAATCGACGACAATACTTCAGTGTTTCTCAGCATAAACAAAAGAAATTCCATCTTCTTCACATACTCATCTGTAATTATTGTTGCTGTATCTTTTAAGTATGTACGAGTAGCATACACATATTGCAAGAATTGCATAAAGTTGCCCTGAGGAATTGTTTGTTTTTAATTGAAAAAGTTTAAGCATAAAATTTAACTTGAAAAACAATTTTTTAATGTAATCAAAAATTTTTAAAAAATAATTCTTTAAACATTGAAAAACTGGAATAGCTTCTTGACATTTTCGTATTTGATTCATCCGTCATGTTAAGTTAATTCCTCAAAACGTAAACATAACACATGAAATTGTTGGATATATTTATGTTAATGCTGGCTGTAAAATCGATTTACAAGACGAGAAAGAAAACGAGAAATGTCATTTGTTGACATTTTGATGTTTATAATCCGTGTGGATATAAATTTTGATGAGTCAAAGCAATTCATAAACACCTTTAAATGAGTAATTTGGTAGAATTGGTATTACAATTTGATGCAAATATTTTAAGCATAGACAATTTATTTAATTTTAAAGTGACATTATACACGGAAATGTCTTAATTGAATAAGTCTTTTTTGTGATATTTGGAGCGATGGATTTGAATATGAAATTTTAGGGCAGGTGTCTGATTTGGTTTTTGTTGAATTATTTCATTAATAATATGAATCTAAATTATGATCATTGATTTGGTTAAATTTAATTTAAATATTCAGTTTAGGGCTTATGGAAATTTTTCAAAGATAAATCAATTCGATGTTAAGAGCTTAACAATCGAGAACTAGTTTGAAGGTCATTTTGGACTTTGTTTCGGTTTTTCTGACACGAAAACTTTAAAATGGTTTTAAAATTCACTTTACAAAGTTTTAAATGGTTTTAAATCATCGATTTCTAGTTTCAATCTAGTTCAAGAATTTATCTTTACAACCTTGCCTCGCGAGACAAGATTTTAGATTGTTTTAAGCCAAAGCGGTTGTAAAAGTAACTCTTACTTTTTAAAAAATCACTTAGTCATCATCTAAATAGCGTTGATAAGTTGATTTGTTTCTACCCACTCGTAGCTGCATTATATTTTATCTTTCTGTGCCTTAATTCACGTACATTCAGTTCCCTTAACTCAAGGTATACCTTTTCATCGAAAAACACTTTAAACGATATCGCAAATCTCTCTGTGTCAATTTTATATAATATCAAGAGAAAATGACAAGCCTTTGTTCCATAAAAGATGTTTATTACTAAATCAAACATAATTGATACTCATGCTTAACTTTATTATTACTAACTTGAATTGCAAAACAATGCAAAACTTATTCACATGCTTACAGTCAAGGAATTTGAAAGCTTTAGCTTTAATAAATAATTTTAAATTTTGATGACGAAAAGATTGCAAATGTTTGTCTTCTTTTTTGCATCATGATTGAATAATTGATTTCACATTCGTATGGACGATGCTTTTGGTTACATCCAGAGGTGATAATTGAAAGTTGAAGAAAGAATCAGTGGAGTAAAACAGACTCTTTTTATAAACTTAAAGGTTTTTTGAATCAGATAGGTCTGGAAAACTTACTTTGCTTGGTACGAACTCTAGCTCTCAGGATATATCTTACAAAACAGATTAATATGTAGATTTGAGATCCCGTTCGTGCCAAATCAAGAAAAATTTCATAATTTTCGCACATTTATTCATCTAGCCATGAAATTCCAAAACAATGAATAACAATTATTTCCTCTCTCATTCCATTTCAGCTGATCCAAAGTTCGCGACACCAATCAATAATGTAACAGTTGCTGTATCGAGAGATGCGGTTTTAACTTGCAGTGTCCATGATTTATATCAATTCAAAGTAAGTTCACAAAGTGTCAATCATCAATTATTAAGATATCACTTTTAAAATCTATATGAATGGGAATAAGAGATAATAAGTCAGTGCTTCTGAAATTTCGTTCCACGGCACTTTATTGTTTTGTCATAAACTTCAAGTATATCGTGAAATGTGTGGTGACACAAAAACCAGTGGGAAACTTTGTCGCAGTCCCAAAAGTTTGAGAACAATTTCAGCAAGACAGAAGCAATAGAAGTTTTGGAACTATAAGAATTCCATGATTGCTGTTTAAGCAGAAAATTTTGTGTGAAAAGAAGGAATAAAATCTTATTGCTGTGCGGTGTGAAAAAGGAAGTGGTTTGGGGTTGGCTAAGATTTTAGAAATGGGACAAATTTGCTGGATGTGTTACACAATTTAAAGGAAAACAAAAGTTTCTATTTCATCATAAATTCCACGACCCGATCTTAATTAAAAAATTTATTGATATCATCAATCAGCGATCAAAAAGAAGTAAGGCACAATTCCAAAAAAAAGCTTTAAACTTTCACAAAATTTTGCACACAAATGAAAGTTTCGAAATGCTTCAAAATTGACAAAGCAGTCCTCCATGCGACAGCACACATTATGACCGAATATAAAATTCAAATTTATTTTGTGTCTAAATAACAGCTTTGCATCCATAAATCAATTTTCCCTTCTTTACTGCCTTAAAATGCTTAAATATGATGTTTGCCACATAATTATTCTTTTCCTCCCTTAATTCACAGCCGAAAAAAATACTTACTTTTATTGACCGGAAGTGTGAACATGTTTTTAGACTAATTCACTTGCCTTTTTAGGTTGCATGGCTGCGTGTTGATACACAAACAATATTGACCATTCAACATCACATTATCACCAAAAATCATCGAATTTCAATTACAAATACCGAGAAGAAAATTTGGGAGCTTAAAATTAAGGAAGTGAAGGAGTCGGACCGAGGATGGTATATGTGTCAGGTGAGTTTAAGATATTGGAATGCTGAAATGAGGGACGAGAAACAAAAAATTTAAATTCTTGCAATCTAAGCTTGATTTTGAAGATTGGTTGGAAATCAAAATCATTTTAGAGCGTGAATTGAACTCTTGAAGCACCGAGAAGTTCGTTTAGCACAAGACATTGACCTAGGAACTAGATTGTTTTGCTTCGTTGACAGCAAAAACTGAGTCCATAATAACCAAAAATAGTCAAAATTTTTCTTATTGGCGACACAACTAGAGCTTCAGTTTGAACTGTTTCATAATTCATTAAATGTAGACCTGTTATGACCTAAGAATTCTTTTGTTTGCCTATGCAAGTGATTCAAGCTGTTTATAACTTTTTTGAAAGCCAAAAAAATCTCAAGGATAGGGTTTAATAACACCATTTTAATGCATAACAATTATGGAGATACGTCATCAGTGTCATTGATGCTGGAAAGTATTTTTAAGAAAAAGTTGTGCAATTCTAAGTTCACTTTATTACAGACCAATAGTAATACTCAAGTATGGTTTTGATATTATGTGACAACATGTGATTCTGCAGAAACTTGCCAGTCATAAATAATAATAGGCTTGATAAATAACAAGAAATTAATATCTACTGTCCACTTGGGTAGACATCATTAAGGATCGACCCTTGCATTAGAAAATTTCATTTAACCTCAAAATTATTGTTTTCCAGATCAATACAGATCCAATGAAAAGTCAAATGGGTTATTTAAATGTTGTTGGTAAGCATAGCAATTGAAAAAAACCTTTTGTGGCTTCCTATTATTTTAAATTTAAACTTTGTTTTCTTTTTTTCTTTGAAACAATTCCAACAGTTTCTCCAGATATTCTCGACGACCCAACGAGTAATGATGTAATAATTCAAGAGTATGAAAACGTGACTGTTTCGTGTACAGCAAGTGGCTCACCAGGTTGGATTTTTTTTTCTTCTTTTTTACAAATTAAAACTCGCTTTTAAAGATTGTAAAGAGGAAATTTTTATTTATGTCTATGTTTAATGTAGTGTAAAGATTTAGGTATAGACTATGTTGAGTTTATGTGATCAATTGACACAAGGACAAAATTAGAGAAATTTCAGATCCTAACCCTATCTCGAAATTGTAATTTGTATTGGAACCTCTTTGTGTCCATTCACTTATGACTTCCGACATTTAGGGGGGGGGGGGGGTCTAGGATTTTGTGACAGTTCAAACAATGGAAATTTTTTTCAATAGAATTTTTGAGACAGAGGGGGGGGGGGGTCTAAAATTCAGGTTTTTTTGATGGACGTCATAACACGACCCCTTTCCTCCATCTTATCATTTCTGAACTAAAAAACCATGACTCAACATTAAACGCTAGCAGTGTCTCAGCCTCGTCTTAAAAGTGTCTAACATATGAACACTTGAAAGCGACTCATAACTGATTTGTTTTGACGTTTCTTTAATTTTAACTGATATAACTGAATTATATGTTTATTTAACTTTATTATCAATATATTAGTAGGTCATACTGATGATTTTGTAATAATTTTACTCGAATATTTGAGCTACTGTACATTTATTATTTTATTTTCTCTATTTGTTCTTTTAAGAGCCAACAATTTTGTGGAAGCGTGAAGGTCACAACAAGAAACTATATATTGATAATAAGGAATGTGAGTATGTTTTGATAACTTAACAAATAAACTTAATATCATGAATTTTAAAAAAACAGCTGAGACGTTTATTGGTACGATACTTCGTATTCCATATATAACAAGGCACCAAGCTGGCGCTTATTTGTGTATAGCATCCGTAAGTATTTCAGTTTATATAAAAAATCAACATGCAAATTATCTAATTAATAAAATTGGTGATTTTATCTCATTTGCGGATCTTTGTCGCTTCTCTCATTTTGCCGCAGAACGGAATTCCTCCAACAAAATCAAAGAGAATCAAAGTGGTTGTAAATTGTATGTTTTCGAATTGCTGATGATTCACAATCAATTATTAGCTTCTTTTGTTTATTTATCTATAGTCAAACCGAAGATATTTACACATCATCGAGTCATTCACGCAGCAATTGGTCAAAAAGTGATGTTGGAATGTTTAACAGAATCATTTCCTAATTCCGGTAAATTGACATTTTAATTTCTTCTTAATTGGATGTTAATTGTACTTAAAAAGGCATTCTTGATGATGATTTTTGTGTGTTTTAAGAATTAAGTGGGTTTAGCTAGTTTTATTATGAAAATAAATCTTATTTAGCTTGCATTGATAGTAATCTGCAAATGGCTAGATCTATTAACTTAAATCTAGATTCTAAGAGAAAAAAAAATGTTCTGAAAAATTAATTATTTATGTCTATACAAAATATATTTCTAGAAAATTGAAGGCAATTATCTCAAACCATACTACATAAGCAATAAAATTACTGAAATGCAGCCTCTGAGCGTGATCTTTATGTTGATCAGTCTCATAAGATATTTACGTGTTGAAAATTGCCTATTGCTGACTTTGTCGACATATTGTCTACAAAATTGCTGCAAAAAATATTATACATAGCATGTCAGAACTAAATTTCATAACGTGATTTATTTAATTTGGAGTAGAACAGCAACTAAAGCTAGTTTCGTAGTCAGGAATCTGACGATGTTGAGGTTATGTTGATTTTTAATGTCAAATGGAGTTTGACTCCTGCTCTGACTAATTTGATGCTATTTTACGATTGAATTGAACCCTTGTCCTTTCATTTTCGGTCGAATTGAGCTTCAAAGATTGCTAATCAGCTTGAAAGAATTCCAATTTTTTTCACTCTGAACATTATTGTTCTTGATTTATTTATAAACTGCCTTATTTCTTGATAACTTATAAGTCAAAAGTCATAAAAAATCAGGATTTATCCGAAGTTAACAAATCAACAAACTTTCTTATTCTGAAACTTCAATTTTAACATTTGGTCGTTGTTGGTTTTTATAAGAATAATAAATGGCAAACTTAATAATATCTTCTGAATATCCACCTGCATGTGTGACAATAATTTGTTGTTAAAAACTATAGCCTTATCTGTTGCTTTAAATATCAACCACTTAGAGTCAATTATAAAATTAATTCCTTGAAAAATGAGACCAAAAAGCTGCAATTTGCTTTTAAAAATATTTAAATAAGTTAATTTTTTATCTAAATGAGAGATGTCAAAACTTTTAAATTTATTTCTGCAAATACAAGATTTAAACTTTAAAGTAGCAGATAGCAAATAAATTAAAGACAATTAACACCTTCTGCAATTAATTTTAAATATTAAACAATTTTAGTGAACTATTGGATGCGTGCAAATCCGGATTTTTCGTCAAACGACTACGTAATGGGTGGAAGTTACAATACAAGCATTGACAGTTACGGAGCATATGAAGTCAAAATGAAACTTCTTGTTAAACTCATTAGTGTACATGATTTTGGTGTCTACAAGTGTATTGCGAAAAATGCACTTGGCAATTCTGAGGAAATAATTAAACTTTTACGTAAGTTGACTATTCCTTTCCGCTATTTAGCACTTACCCATGAAAATCTACCCAAGATCATTCAAAAAAAAAATAATTTACAATAACTTGAAAATTAGTTCGCGATTTGCTTCGCTGATTTCGGCAATGACATTGAATTATCGCTTGAAGATTGATTGTTAAAAAAAGCACTAAAATTCAATTTTGATCTTTCTTCTTCTTGTTCCTTCATTTTTTATTTATTATCGTGTTTATGATAATATAGCAGCATCAAAGACGATTGACAAACACGAGTTTCATCCAACGAGTTTTATAAGCACATACTTAAATACACGCAATGGTAAGACGATGTTAGTTTATGATTCATGGGCTTAGTATCGGTTTACAACGTCAACTGGCTATAAAAGCTGTGAGCTGTGAGATATGGGCACAACAAGGAAGACGATATTAAGCCCACGCATCAAGTCATATGATTTTTTCAAGTTCATGAATTGTTTACTTACATAATATTGAAGTCGTAAAACATTTTTTTTATAGCCACTGACCCTCTTGTTCTTTCTTCCGTAGAGTCAAAAATTGTAGATAATGACGACATAAGATTCACTTTCGATATTGTCAATGTCTCAAATCAAACAGTCATCGTACCAACGATAGCTTTTATCATCACGCTAATTGTCCTTATTATTATCATTTGACATCGACGGATTTTGCACTCATGTATGAGAAGGATGATGAATTATCCACGAGCAACGCTTGTGTAAGAGAAGATGTACGCTGTAAAGTTAGTTTAATGCTATTATGAAATTTGTTATGAACAAGTTATGAATGAAGAAAAAACTTCAATTTATTTTTAAATCGTTTTTTTTCTCATTTTTTTTTTATTTCTATTAAATTCATTTTGGCTAAAATAGTTTTTTTTATGTCATCTGTTTTTGCTTTTCATTCGGAGAGACGAAAAGTATCAAAATATATGCATAAAATAAATTGAGTCTAAAATCAATACAAATAATTTAAAAATGGCTAAATCTAAATGGGTTTGCGTCAGTTTTAAGTTTCATGCTGTGAAAATGCTATTGAACTTTTGTTTGTTTTTTTTGGGTAATTATTTTTTGTGTGGATACTCTTTTGGAACTGTGATTTTTTTGTCATTTGAATATGATTTGGTCAATGCAGTCTGATCTTCGATCAATTAACTATACAAGTTTCATCACACGCTAGGCTCTCCCCTAGCTACTCAGATTTCTCCTTGCTTTTTCAAAGTTGAATTTAGCACAATATAAAATTTATTTACAAACTAGGTGCTGTTTTAAGTTGTGATCTAAGTGAAATCTAGCGTTCGAATCGATTAGATTCTTAGCAGATATCGAAGTCCAGGTTTATAAGAAGTCCCGCTTAGTCATTATTCTTATTCAAGTTGATATCGATCTTAATTCAAAACTTGCTAAACAGCTTCAAATTCATCCAAAAGAGTGTCCACGACCCATTAAATCATAAATATTGCAATTTTGTTACATAAAAATAAAAAAATATTTTTATCACATTTTCCCCTCCAATCAACCATTAAAAATACCCAATTAAGACCAAAAATTTTCATAAAATCACATTTATTTCCACTATCTACGACGCAAAAAGTTTTAGATTCAATTAAATGATTAATTCGTTGAGATAAACTAAAAGTTAAGAAGAAAAGTTTTTTATACAGTTTATGAAATTTTATCTGTCGGAACTAGAAGTTAATGATTAACGTACAATCATAATTTAAATAATCTATCTAAGTTTTAGTCATTTTTGAAGCTCATAAAATTGGTTAATTCAACGAAATAAAATCATTTACCAATTTGCAGCTTGAGCACGTCGAGGAACAGACAATTTTCATCTCTATTAGCTGTGAATTATTTTCCACTTGATTGATTTATCTCGAAAAAATTTTGTACAAAGAAAAATATAACCATCAATTAAGCTTCATACTAATTTCATATGCCTACCAGTTTGTACGTTAATCAATAAATTCAGTCACCGAGCTTCAGACTAATACACGTTGATGTTGTCTGTTTTATACTCTTTTTTTTTGTGTTTTGACAAGAATATATTAATGATGAACAAGAGTTGAAATAAAAATGACGAGATTATAAATAGACATAACATCATCACTTTTATTTTATTCTTGTTTGTTTTCCTATGTCTTTAAAAGACATTGATGTGATTTGTTTTTTGTGATGCCAGAATGAGCAAGAATTTTGTTATCATTTTTATAATATAATACCACATGTAGATTTATCTGAAGATAAGCATTCGTTTAGTCTTCGTTCAATATTGTTTTTTGTTTTATAATTTATAAAATTATAAATTAATTCATTTAATAAAATTTACTAATGATCTCCAAATCACAAATCAACTTAGCATTAGAATTGAAGATTACGTTTCTTTCACACAAATGTATTATTTTTTTATGTATTTTATAAAATGTTGAAATAAAAGATTTTCAGATTGATATGAATAAAATTAAGTTTTTTTGAAATTAACTGAGATCTGTTTTGTAGATTTATCAAGCATATAATTAGTAGGTAGAGGGCTTCAAGGATAGATTTTAAAGTTGTAAATGTTATCAACAAAAAAAAATATTTGATTTCCTGATTTTTTTCTTTCAAACTAGTTAAGTTTAAAATCTTGGTATTCAAACTAAGTTCTAAGGATGCTATTTTGAATATTCTCAACGATATTGACTTGTATTGATGTTTTCTGGAATCTCTGAATTTGATCATAGAAGGATGAATATAAATGTAACTTGGAAGATCTTTAGTAGCAAACATTAAAGCTAGTTTTCAAGAATTCAGTCTTTTTATAAACAAACTTCATAGTTTTCTTGTTATTGATATCTTTTAAGGACCATGATTATAGGAAATTGAAATAAGATGTATCTTAACACAAAGAATTCTATTTAGATTTAAGATGAGGAGACAAACATAAGTCCAACGACTCCAATTATTGAACAGGAGCATATTTGGAAAGATTCTTTGAATTACAAGTTAATTTACTCACATGATTCATTTATTTAACATTTAACTGATCAATCCTTGTTTAATCGTATTGATCAGTTCCGCTTTCTAAGCATTAAATCCAAGCAGTCTTTAGGTTCCCTGCATAGTCTTAAAAATGCATATTTAACATGTTTCTAATTCATACTAATGTCAAAGATTTGAAAAAAATAATTTTTCGACATTTCAATAGAACATCAACTTTGAAAGATTGCATAAAATTGCTCAATGCGAAAAATCTTATCAATAACTCAAGTTATTAATAATCATCAAAACAAATCTCAATCGATCTCAATTTTTCTATTGTTGAAAATTAATTAGCTGATAAGCTCCGTGTTATCAAGAAAATAACAACAAAAAAAAAGGTTTAGTAAGAATAAAAATCGCTGAAAAGTCAATGACACTTTTGTTTATACAAATTCGCAACATGATGCAACATATTTTATTTCTTCCTTAAACGATTGTATGCTTCATATTTTGTTGAGTTTGCTTTGTTTCTATTTTTTTTTTGTTTATTTCATTCCCTGATAACAATGTACGTAAATTGGTTGTTGGCGTCAGCTTCCAATGAATCATCTTCATTGTAAGACTTTTTTTTTTGCTTAATTCATTTGCAGAATAAATTGTACAATAAATTTATCAACATTAAAAATGTTAAGTTGATTATGATTGAGAACATAGATGTTGATTGCTATCCCATATTCGATAATGGTCGACTTATTGCGTTCTCCTGCACCATCATTCTTATTTCAAATCTAACTTCTCTAGGTAATTCAGATTGATCTAAATTATATTTTAAAACAGCCAAAATGCTAAGAGTCTTCAGTGAAGGCGAAAAGTCTAGTACATGTGTGTCATTGTAGTCTATCAGAAGAGCTGGTGCTGATGAGTTGCTACTTGAATTACTCGACGGACTGAAAGTGAAAACGAAGATGACAAAAAGAGAAATGTATATTGAAAAAATTATTATTATATCTCATCATAAAATGACAATAGTTATTAATTGCTGCTTTAAAACAGATGTAGGAAATCATTGAATGGATGTAACGAGAAAATAATTATTGCATAATCTTGCGTACAAGCGAATAGAGTTTAATGAAAACAAGATTTAGCTTCATTAAACGTGATGAGTGATTATAGAGATTCCAATCTATCGAATCTGTTTACCTCGAAATAAATTTATTGATAATCGCATGTTGTAAACGATTAATGGTGATTAGAAAAATTGTTTAGAATTTTAATGATTATCAGGGATGTTATTAATGGATGCTTAGAATGTTCATATTGCATGTGGGTAAGGTGGGTAATTAAAAGTTTCATTGTTCGGAACATGGAGAAATTCTACTTTGAATCTTAGATTACAAAATTGGTTATCTTATGTTAAGTATAAGATCACGACTCTGTTGAAGCTTTGTGATTGGTAACTAGAATATTGAAGATGTTGATTGATTGATTGAATTAATATTTATTCGCCCTCTCGTGTTAGAAATTGATTTGGATATTTAAGGAAGCGTAGTATATTTATCTTAGATAAGAGTACGACAGCATCTCTGTCAGAATCATTAATATATGACAAGATGTCATCCACAATACTAAGTAATCCAATCTCCTTTAATTTGATTGCTCATTCATCAACCACATTGAAGAAGCATCCAGCAATTGCAATAAAAACCGCCATAACAATAAAAATGTGTATCATTTCATTCATGAAAGTCGTTAAAGTAAACTCAATATGATCTCATTCAACTTTCACTTTTTTTTCAGCTGTAGCGTTGTTGTTTCATCATATGTGAAACACATTATCTTGTTTAACAAACAATCATCTGTTTGATTTACAGTAGATAGCATAGATGATTGATTGATAACTGTCTCACGACGTAATATTAAGGTCAAGGTCGTTTTATAATTTACTTACCATGTTCCACCAAAGAGAAACATTTTTGATCCTATGACAACACATGATTGTCTTCGCCTAATTTTTGGTTTAGTTCCGTGAGTTTCGATATTTTGCCAAATATTCCTAATTGGGTCAAAACAGTGAAGATCGTTGAAGTGAAGATCGAGAATACCGTTGAAGCCACCAAATATCCACAAAAGTCCGTTATAGACAACTGCAAATAATACAAAGAAAAGAAAAGAAAGAGAGAATTTGATCAGTCTCATTTGCATATAGGATATTAATTATGCATGCAGCTCAGTTTTGCCACAGAACAAGATGATCGTCGAGAATTTGCTTTTGTCATGGATTTTCCATAGCACATGTCTGCTTGAATTTCGATCATCTTGATATCTTTAGTTGGAATAAAATTTAAATGACTCTGCTTATTGCTATTTGATATTTTTTTCAGCTAATTTTATTTGCTGATTATTCAGCTTTTTGTTTGCTTATCTCTTCGGTAAATCATTCGATAAAACATGTTCACAGCTGACTCGTTTTTTTCTGTATTGATTTTATTTACTGCTTGAAAAAATTGTCTAGACCATTGATGGTCAAGATCTTTTTTCTGTCAATTCTTACAAGTTGAAAAAAGTGAGTTCATATGAGTGATTTTTTTGTCTAATAAATATAAATTTGCGGTAAGGAATTCAACTTTATTTCATTAGATTTAGCCTTGTATTGCTCCATCACAAGCATTTCAAATTACTTCAATTGAAGTAAATTGCTTAAAATTTGAGTTTTTTTCATGGAAAATATTTTTAAATTGTGAACTTAATGTCGATTTTTACAATTTAGTAATTTTAGAGGTTGAAAATTACTTCATGTTGATGCGAATTGTTTTGCGTCATTTGAAGCTAAAGTTTTGCGTCATTTAAAGCTACTGTTTTTCATCATTTGTTCTAGAAAATGTTTCGATTAGTTAAAGTTTGCTTCATTTGGAAAAAAAGTTTTGCCTCATTTGAAGCAGAAAATTAATTTCGTATGATGCAGAAAACTAGTTTCATTTGATGCAGAAAACAAGCTTCATTGAATGCGAACACTATTGCATCATTTGATGCTAAATGTTTGCGTCATTTAATACAAAAATATTTTTTGATACAAAATGTTGCATTCCTTTAAAATCAGCACAAAAACCTCATACAATGTTAATAAAGTGAAATATATTGCGATTGTAAATTTTTATTTTATATCCAAACTGAGCAAAAAATAAGACGATCAAATATTTTAAAAGAAAAACTCTTCAGTTTTGCATTAATTAAAGCAACAATGTGACTGTAATCTACAAATTTCAAATCAGCAAGTATAATTTTAGCATCGCTGATGTAGACTATAAAGAACACAATCATCCTGTGAAAATGAAATAAATATCAATCATCATTATGTGATTAAATTGTCTTGTTGATATTCATGATAGAGGGAGGTGACTTTTGAAGCATTTTTAACATCAATTAAAAGATGAATAAGATGAAATAAAAATATAAGTTATGGGATTTTTTTTTATATATTTTTATATTTTTGAACGCGAGACTTGTCAAATTTCCGATTTTATCCTCTTATCGTGGCAATTTACATCACGAAACACACAAAATAAAGGCACAGATGAGAGAAAAATTATGAATCGAGCAAAATGAAGCTACAGTGGTGTAGTGTGGGGATTTAGTGCTTGGGTTGTGAGTTTAGAACATGATATTTTGCTTGAAAGTAGTGTTCCAGTCTTTGTGGTATAAGTGTGGCACCAGAAGAGGATCCTTAGCCTTTGAATGACGATTAATTGAGAAACCAGTCACTTATAGTAATTTTAATGGTTCAGATTTAGATCTTGGTGCTTAATTTTACTTCCTGAAACTAGCCTGAATGCAATCAAAAACATCGCAGAGATTGAATTGCATTGACAAAGCACAACCTATGTAAATCACTTAAGCATTGTTCGCGAGTAATACTGGCGTCGCTGGAATTGAAGAAACGTAGAAAAAAAATACTCCGAATTCTTTTCAATTCAATGTATTTATTCTATGCCGTTTGGCTAACGTTTTTCACTGATGGTGAATAAAAGAATAGTTAATTAAACTATTAAAAATGTGGAATATAAATCCCTTACAAAATTTGTGACGTCTTCTCGCTTCAGAGGGTATATAAGAAAGAGGGAAGACGAGTGGAAAATCGAGGGGGAAAAAGAAATATTTCTTGGGTCATGAAACTTTTCCCAAATGATAAAATTCAATTTATTATTTCAATATACGTTATTGATTAATCAATAACATCCTCCGGAGAGGGAAACTATTTTGGGCTAGCGTTTAGCCAAAATGTACTCGGTACTGCTAAGATTCCATCTTCGTCGATCTCGTAATCATCTCCAATTGATAATGTAGGTGATGCTGGCGGTGTATCACGATGAATTAACTTTGGAGTATCTGTTGGAATACATCGCGGTTTTGGTTGAGGAGGTTGAATAGGAGCAATAGTTGTGAGTGGTGGATTAAATATCTCTCCGACTGCTAATGGTCTCATAGGAATTGATGGATCTGACAAATTCGCGTTTAGCCAATTTGCTGCTCGGATCTCTTCTGAAAATTCACAGCGATTATTAATTACCAATTCCCTACGATCTTCACCAATCAAGAAAGGCATTCCTACTGGTAGTTTAGCTTCTACCAAATCTCCCATAATGTTGAATTTTTTGCCGTAAACTTTAAAGGCGTTTATTCTGCTGATAAATGTAGCGAATCCAAAGTTTCTTGTTACCTGTCTTCTTTCGCAAAAGGCTAACTTAAATCCAGTTACAGTTCCTTCTTGTTCAAGTTCTTTGAGCACAGCAATGATGTAAAATGTCGTTGTTGTTGTTAATTGTCTCATTCCAAATAATCCCATTGGATGTGGTGACATTCTCATATCATAACTCGATGCTGCTCCAAAAGGAACTGTATACTCGGCACTTCCATAAACTAACTTTGGATCCGTGATCCCTATTATACAACCTTCCAAAATGATGTAGTCTCGACTTAACAAATCATTGTATTCTTCTTCTTTAGTTAAGTATATAAAAACAATACCATCTAAGATTTGTGCTTCATAGTCAGCAACGCGATGACAGCCGATTATTGAACTAACTTCAACTATGAACTGATGAATAAGATGTGACAGTGGAATAGTATTGCTGACACCTTCTAATTTCAAGACTCTTATGCAGCAATTTCCTCTTGCTGGATTCTTGACACTAATAACCAACTTATTCTTTTTCGTTTTCTTAACGACTCTTGCACTTTGTAAATTGGCAGGCGCTCGAACTGGTGATCGTGCAATATGTGGACGAGTTGGCAATTCAGGGCTTTTTTGTTTATGAATAGGCGATAAATCACGTCTCTTAAGTTGATTTGGTGACTGAGCACGTCCTTGAATTTTAATTGGTGATGGACGATGTTTCGCATAATTTATTGGTGAAGGAGGAGTTCTTTGACGATGGATTTTTGAGGGTGGAAATCGTATTTCTGAACGCACGGTTGGACGAATTGGAGATGTTTGACGACTTGTAACTGTAGCGGATACTCGACTTGAAACTTTAATTGAAGGAGGCGATGGTGTTCTAGAACGTCTGTTCGTTCTATTCTGCCGATATGATGTCCTATCACAAGGACTTTCAGGTCTAACCTTTGAACTACTATGTCGTTTGATCTCTTGTCTCGATGGAGAAACCTTGCGTTTCTTTAGTGGGTATTTCGGTGATAGAGGTGATCTACCTCGCTTGCGTGACTCTTTAGTCATCCTTAAATGTTGAATAAATCTAAAATATAAAGTAGAGTAAGGAAACGAAATCAATAATTCTGTTAGATATAATTCTGAAACAATAAACAAATTCAAGTATTTGGTTATGCACACGACTTCAAATAGTCATATATCTATTACAGAGGATTGTATATTGATTCTTGCTAGTTTCCTGACTGGACGTCTCTTGATTTTTCCATTTGCTTTGATCACGTCAGCAACTCGAGGTGTTCCGTCTTTACCATAAAATAATTTGTAAATCTTTCCTCTAGGCCATTCTTTTCTTGTCATGTTTGGCTCTATCATAAGCACTAGATCATCAATTTGCAATGGTTCCGTTTCTTTAAGCCATTTGACCTTTTTTGTCAAGACTGGTAAATAATAAGCAGTGAACTTCCTCATAAGCTCATCAGCTAGCATTCTTCCTTTGCGATAAATTGATCTATCATCAACTGCCACGAATTTCCCGTTATGCATCCCTGGAAGTAATGGCCATCCTGATCTATGCTTAGCCAGATGATGTGGTGTCAAGACAGGTTCATCCTCAGCTTCAATCGGATTATGAGTTAATGGACGCAGATTCAGTCGATGAGCTGTTTCATTTACAGCTATATTTAATTCTATTTTTGTCAATCTTCTTTTTGACAATGTATCTCCTAACGATCTCTTAATTTCACGGTTGAATCTTTCGTAGAATCCTCCAAACCAAGGTGATCCTGGAGGAATGAAACTCCATTCAACATTGAACTTTTCTGCAAGTTCCTGTCCAAGTACTTCGGGTTGTTGTAAAAAGAATATCATTGAATTTTTGTAATCTTCCTCAATTATTCTTGCTGCACCAACAAAATTGGTGCCATTATCGCTTATAAACTTCCTTACTGGTCCATGAGCTGCATTAAAGATGACAATTGCTTCCAAAACTTTAATTGATTCTAAAGAGTCCACTATGTGTAGATGAACAAATCTCGTAAGCGCGCATGTGAAGATCATAATCCAAACTTTCTTTGCTCTTCCATATTGGATTGTGGATATTGGACCCATTAAATCAACTCCAGTGACCTCAAATGGTTCTAAATCTGGATTGACTCTATATTTAGGCAATGGTCCGATAACTGGATCACATGGTGCTACTGCTCTAAGTATGCATTCATTACAATGAGCTTTGACTGTTCTCAATGCTTGACGTACTTGTGGAATCCAACATCTCGTTCGGATTTCAGCTATTTGTGACTCTGCAGCAATATGATTATACTTTTCATGATAGTACATCAACAATACGCTTACTATAGCGTTTTTCTTCGGAAGGACAGGAACGAACTGTTGTGGATGATTTTTCCTATTTAGATTTGTTCTAGCATTGATTCTCATCATTCCTTGTTGATCCATGAAAACGCTCAATTGCAAGAACTCTTT